CCTTTACCTGACGACCACACAGTCCAGCGTATTTGCCAGTATCTTGAAACGGCGATCATTTTTACAATTATTACAATTTTCGAAAACGTTTGCGACGACAGAGCAATTCGGCCGAGAAGGCCCACACCACCACCCCACTCTTGCGTCGAAATGGCCTAGCATGGCCATAAACTCTGGCAAGAGTTTTCGCAGGTATCGGTAATTGCTTTATTGCTGATTTATAAATCAGGTGTGGGCGAGTCATTTCTCATGTCGAGAAACAATACTGAAATAAAACCTACGGAAACTTTTGTCCGAGCCCTGGCCATGCTAGGCCATTTCGACCTTAAGCCCGAATTTATTACCCCAACAAATTATTCCATCTACTTATTCCAACAAACTGTTTATTTATTCGATCGATCTGCTCCGTCTATTTATTCGATCGAACTAGTCTATCCATTTATTTAAACAAACTATACCGTCTATTTATTCGGGCATTGTATAACTATTCGAATCGTAAGGGTCGATGCATATCTACGTGCCAGACACGGGTCGTGCTAGCAGCGTGCTCGATTGAGAGTGTTCACATTAGATGTGCGAGTATGGTGTCAGACAAATGAAGAATAGATAATAACGCAATGTGTAACTTCTTTATTTTTCATTATTTTTTAATGGGACTTTCTCCAATGCAATCGTGAGCTTTTTCTGATTAAAATAAGACCAAACACGATATAATATTTGTAAGATTATACGGTCGGCGACCGTAATAACCATTAAAACTGTCCGCTTGCAGATACCAAGGTTTCGGCAGAGAGAAAACTTTCGTCACTTTCTGTGACGTTTGCAAGTACGGAAATTGCTTTATTCCTTTATCGTTTTATCACCTCTACGTGCACAGCAGACTTAGCCATCTGCAAGCGGACAGTTTTAATGGTTATTACGGTCGCCGGCCGCGTACCGCTACCCGTCCGAACGGTCAGCGCGGCTCTACAACGAAGGTTGGACGATACCTGTCTCCCCCGCCAAACTGGACAGGGGTAAAAGAAAATTGACAAAGAAAAGAAGATTTATATATATAAATTATTTTATATAGATATAAGAATATAAATAACGGAGGCAAGAAACTGCACAAGCTTCTTCTTGTTTAACTATTCCGCCGAACATCCGCACCACGCGTCATCCGTGTACCACGCAAAATAAAGTCCGATTACCAACACCCTGTGTCCTTTCGTTGCAACCTCAAACAACACGTTACAATTTTTATTAAAAATATAAATATATTTTTCATATTAATATTAACTTAAATATTTTAGGAAACTAATGAAACGTCATCTTAGACGAAATTTTAATATAATAATAAATTTGCAACAAAATAACATGCGCCGTTTAATTATATAAAAATAAAAATGACCTTTTTTATATAAAAATATATACTTATTATATTCGTATAGCTGTATCAAGTATATCGCATAATCCGCTGGAAGAACGACAACATACAATACCGGACAAAATTGAGTGCACACTCTTGAAAACGCAGTATCTTTTTTTAAAATTGACTAAAGGACTAGAATTTTTCTAAATGACAATGACTATAATGCTTTTTTTAAATTTTGCTATTACTTGAAATGACAACAAAAAATAAAAAGCTCCTGCTTTTTAACTTTTTTATCTGAGCCTATAAATGCGTTTTGTAGATCTTATATCCGTACTGAAAATTTCATCGAAATCGGTTGACCTTGAAATAAGCTGTAAACAATTAAAGATCGATCAATTAAAAACTCACCATCATTTTAAAAATAATTCTAGTCGTTCAGTTCAAGTTTTAAAAGAGATACTGCGTTTTCAAGAATGTCCACTCAATTTTGTGTGGTACTGTATGGTGTCGATAGTCGATTTTCCATTTTAGTCTTTGTGTAAATGAATCTTACATTAAAATTTATATTTTATTGCACAATTGAAAATGTATTTTTTAAATGAATAACTGGGTATACATCATGTTCCGCGTTCAAAGCTGTAAAGAATCAGGAAATTCCCTTTCGACCTCATCTGTTCGTCAAACAGTATTAATCCATCCGTAGTATGCAGTTACTCCGAAAAGCCGTTATTTTCTTTAGAATTTAGCATGTTATTGAATTATGACTCACTGATGATTACCAGGAGTCGAGCCACCATCTCTAGCCTTCACAAATTTTTCTTTTTCTGCATGTTTTGTCAAGTCGAAATGCTTGCCCGGGTTTATTGCCTGCAACGCTAGAATGAAAGATTGCGGACTCTGTCCGCATTGTACCAGTTCCTCTTGTAGATTCATAAACTAGAAACAATTAGCTAAAATGTAGCTTACGGTATTTAAAAATTTTAATAACTATAGAAATGACCGTCGTTTCTCAAGCATTCGCAAATACGCTGGACCGTGTGGTTGAGAATCCTACGGGGCGAAAAGTACAAGTCGAATATCGTGGCGAGTGTTTCAGATGGAGCAACAGGCAAAGGGATGCGCGAATAGAGTGAAATCGCAAGCTCAGTAAAGTGAGACGGCTAAGTTTGTCGTCCGTGTAGACACTCACACATAGAGCCCGCTGGTTTCATTCCGTCTCTCTCGATCATGTCCTGTTCTCTTTCTAAACCAACTGCGCGGAGCTGGATGCGCATTAAAATGGCGGGGATAAAAGCGCTCGGAAAGAAGAGATAGAAATCGTTCGCGATGAGAAAGCACTGATGTATTTGAATAATTGGTCGTTTTTCTAGTTACACGAAGTGCACTGTAGGGTACCAGAAAATTTGATGTTAATTTTCTCGATAGCACGTAGTTTATGATTATGTACGTGCTTTCATTATTATGTATGTATGTATGTATGTATTTGTGTCGCTGCATGAGTATAGAGTGATGAATTCAATACTTTATTTATATTGCTTACAAAATTCTTCGAAAACTGTTTCTTATTGTTTAAAAAGATATGAATATTAAACATTTCACTCGAATTGTTCTAACGAGTTAAAAGATACATATGTATAACTACTGCTCCCTTTTCAATTAACAAAGATTGTGCAATGTGAATGAAGACAAGGACAGTTTCGTTATCTGAACTCAATCTACGGGTTTGGTTAATTCTCCAATGTTCGTTTTGATAACATAAAGTAATTGTTGTTATATTTTAGGCATAAGGGCTACAATAATTATAATCTTTTTCTCTACTCTTTAGTAAAGTATGTTCTATTTGAATATAGAAATAAGACAAATCAATGCGTAGATTTTAGTTTATTATAACTTCGATTATATTTAACTTGTTCAAAAGTTAACACTGTCTAATTTGGAAAAAATAAGTATATATTTAAATATTCCAGCCAGGGCTCTCGAATAGGCAATGCATTGGAATGATTTAACACCATTGACAAATAACCTTAAGGGGCTAGACTCCCTAGCGAGGGGATAAAGTTAGAGTACACAGTTACCGATAATATGAGACGAAAACATGAGTTTACGAGGTGACACTTAACTACCTTAAATCAGCATCTTTTTTGCTGTTTAATGGTATTACTCGAAAGAGGAAAGTTCAATGCAGTGTGCGAATGTCAGACTTCATGATGGTGTCGAAGCTATGGAATTCAAGCAGTTTTATGCCATTGGATTATGGACTTTTGTCGAAGAAAGTCTGACATTCGCGCACTGCATTGAACCTTATTCTTTCGAATGATACCAATAAATATTGAAAACGATGCTGATTTAAAATAGTTAAGTATCACTCTGTAAATTCATACCATAATATAAAGCAAAACATTTGACAAGTTTAGTTACATTGGTGCTTATAAAGTGGTACCTAAGTACAAGGACCGTTAACGTGGAATCGGAGATAGATGCAAGTTTGCGTTATAATACAGATTCCCAATAGATTGTGAACCCTAAAAACTAAATTATTTACTAGCTTATATTTTGTTACTATAATATATATTTATATATTATATATATTATAACATATTTTGTTACTACTAAGAAATTTATAAGAGCATCTAGTCGTAAAATACATCAAATGATATAATGTGACGTGATAAGATAAAAGATACATTGTATTATACATATCATACATACATGTATATGTGTACGTATGATACCTATCCTGCATTACGTTACGTGTAAACATCCGCGAAAATCATGTTTTTCCATACTTCAATACAATTTTTACAATGAAATCAAAAACTATTTTCAAGATTTATTTTCCCTATTTATCAAAAATATCAATCAAAATTAATTAAAAATTATTGTTTAACGAATGCAAGAAATATTTAATTACCTGAAGTTAAGAATGATTATTTTTTAAATATTTTTAGTGAAAATTTCATTGCAATACCTCCAATGGTTCAAAAGTTATAAGAAAATATCACTGCATTTCTTGTGATTCGGAGAATATTTCTATTTATAAATTGAGTTTCTTTTTCATTTCTAATAGAAAGTGCCGGTGGCTCCATCTCGTATTTATCAAGCAACTACACATCTCTAGATAATACCATTTGTGTAACGAAATCTGTACAACAGATACCGACCTGCTGAATCCGTAAAGTAACGTGATTACCCTCCAAGAACGGCTGGTCATCTGAGAACTCTGATCACCTGATCTCCAGCGTATCTCAGATCTCAATACCACAGAGCGCTCAACGCTTATAACACGCTATCAAACACCGAATTCTGGTTTGCTCTTCATTCAAAGATAATCAGTTAAAGTACGTACACTAATATATTTAGGAAGTTAGGGTTATCGAAAGGATTAGCTCAAACTTGAAACTGTCAGCCACGAAGATTCCTGTTTGACCAAGAGGTTGCCAGAAAGCGCATTGCGCTTTTTGTAAATTCCGCGCAATGCTATTTATAATTTAGTCGACAATCCCCTCTATTACTCCACCTGTTTGTTGACTAGTTAGAGGGTAGTGCGATAGGGGCACCAACTTCGCTCGGGAATATTTCCCTTTATGTCGTCCTAGGGGCAAGGCGCAGCAGCGCCATCAAGTGTCAAACCCCCTACAACTACACCTATGTAGAAGCCATGATGCAAATCAACAAATTGGCGAATCGTAAATCGATTCGTAATTCATACTCTTCAATCGTTAATTTTTTGTGGTTTCTCACGTGTATCTGTTTTTTCATGTAGTTACGAAACGATTATCGATTTTCATTTGAAGCACGTTAGTACACATATAAGGGAATAACAAAAAACAGCTGAACTTAGAGATATTTTTAACAATCTGACGAAAGTTCCGGAAAGTGGTTCGTCGAGTAACCGAATTTTTTTGCAAGAAACATCGTATTTACTTTGCTGAGAGAATACGTAAGTTCCCGAAATAGCAAACTGCAATAACTCGTTTATCAGCTTGCAATCATATGCTGAATTACACATGTCAAAGAGGTTAGGTCGTTTAGTTTTGTATACGAAACAAAAGAAAGCATAAAATTTAAATAGACTTACCATTTTCATTTTATAGAAATCATAAAATTTCATTTCTAATTAGTGTTAAACGTAAACGTAATTAGTGTTAAAGTATTATAATAAATCAAAATTGTACAAATTTTTTTATTACAGGTATAATCACGAATTATATTTTGTTTTAATATGACTGAGGAACATCAGTTACCTTCTGATTCTGATGAAGACGACGAAGATTATGTTCCTGATGGTGCTGACAGTGAGCCTGTTTCAGAAGTAGAGTCAGAAGGTGATGCAGAAAGTGGCCCCGAGGATGAGAATGATGAAAACAAGAGGGAAACTACAAAGAAACAACGAAAAAAGGGAAATAGAGGTACAAAGTCTAATGTTAGGAAACATAAAAGACCAGGAAAAAATGTGAGAGCTGATAGTGATGAGAAAGAGAAAGTGGAAACGGAGGAATCCAAGGAAAAGAAGAAACTTACCGAAGAAGAGGAGAAGAAGAAAGCTGATTCACTTTGGGCAGATTTTATGAAAGATACAGGTAATGGTTTAATCTATAATTTGATTTATTCAAGCAACATCCTATAATTGTATTCTTTTGCTCATTTTTACTGCATTTTTATATATTGCAGCAACTGTACCCAAATCTACATCTCAAAATACAGCAAACAAGGCAAACAAAGCAAAAGAAAAATCTCCGCCCTTAGAAAAGCCAAAAGTAGGAGAGAAAGTGAAGATAACTAAAGTCTTTGAGTTTGCTGGAGAGGAAGTGAAGGTTGAGAAAGAAGTATCGATAGATTCAGCTGAAGCTAGATTGTCTCTTTCTTCGGCAGAGAATTCTGATAAGACTGGGAATTCTGCTTCACCTGCTGGAAGAGGTTCTGGGAGGGGAAGAGGTTTCAAACGAACTGGTTTAGGAGGTATCTCTTCAGTTCTTGGTCAAATAGGGAAAAAAGCAAAAATCAGTACCTTAGAGAAGTCGAAGCTGGACTGGGACAGTTACAAAAAGGAGGAAAACTTGGAGGAAGAGATCAGCACTCATAACAAAGGCAAAGATGGTTATTTGGAGCGCCAAGATTTCTTGCAGAGAGCAGATCTACGGCAGTTTGAAATTGAGAAACAATTACGCAATGCCAACAGACGCAGCACACGGTGAATTTATGCCGTATCTTGTGTGCATGTCTCTTCCTTACTGGTAAGGATTAGAGATGATATTAAAAATTCTACCTTTAGTAGACTTGCCAGTTATTGGCGCTTGTAACATGTATTTAGTCTTAATTCCTGGAACACTCATCTATATTTCGTAGCATATATAGAAACGTGATTGCCTCGCTTGGCTTGACAATCGGCTGGATCTGTTTACAATACGGTCGAAAGCCAATTATGTGAGAAGAGACTGATCATTCCAATGTATCGATGATAATACGGTGTGTTATGTATTAATTTAATTTACCATCTGCTAGCTAGGCTCTATATATCGCAGAATAGTAGGGTCTCTACTATATCACAGAACTTCGCATCGAAGCTGGATGTTTGAAGCTTGATGCTTCGGAAACCATATATTCTAATAACAGGATGCTCCAGAAACGTTTTTATTCCGTTTCCGTGCAAAAAAGAAGAACGATTAATGCAGTATAAATAGTGTAGAATCTAATGAGAATCCGTTTGAATGGAAGAATACTTGCGAATATGTGTCTTAGAAACGAACATGACATTAGTTTCATTTACAATCACTGCCTTCGGCGAGTCATGCAACCAGACATGTTACCATATTTATAAAAAAGGTACATGAGAGAAAAGCACAGACCGTTGTTAGCCCTGGAACAGACAATACTGGATTACTTCTGACCCGTATCAGAATGTAGATGCTTCGAATCTGTCTTGCCGATATAAAATATTACATTGACAACCCCAATGTTGCATTTTGATAATTTATACGAATTTTGTAAATTATGATACGCTGAACCGAGATCTGAAAGCCGTCTTTTGTCTTTTTCGGTTTTTAAAAAATGTTTTAAAAAAGTGAACTTTTTAACTTTGTGAATTGCTTCTGCTTTAAACGCATAAGCTATACAAGTGTACTTTGTGTAGAAAAATTCTGTAAAATCTCCCAAATGCATCAAGTAATTTTTATTTTACTTCAAATACAATAAAAGCTTATTTTGAAAGTTATGAAATTGAGATAAAATGTAATTATACCACGCCCACGTTCCTTCTTTGGTAAGACACGTTTAAAAAACTAACCGTCGTATTTGGGAAAGTCTACAAAATCATTTTACGTAAAAAACATTCGTATCGCTGTCTCCACTAAAACAAAAATATTTGTAAATGAAACCTTTACTTCATAATCGAATTTCTCAAAAGAGGAAATGACTTTTTGATTCGTGTTTAATGTATCAAAGTCTACAATGATCGTCTAATGGAGAATGTTCAAATTTATTGGATCATATTATTTAATTATATTTAAGGTGAAAAGAAGGAAAGACTTGTTTAAAAAATGCAACTGACCAGACCAATGCACTTGCATCTTTAGCACAATCAAAACACGAGTCAGAAGTGACTTGGTATAATAGGACAAGCATTAAAGGTAACACTACAGTAATGATTTTATACTTTTTCAGCGATATATATACCCATTAATTACGTATATGTACTTGCTAATCGCAGAATAATTTTCTGTGCGAGATATTTCGTTAATTGATAGTTGAGTTAATCCGGTAACTGTAATTCTTAGTTACAGTTTCTGCATTAATACGTGACCTATATCGTGCAGATATCAAGTATGCTTGTAGCTTATTCGATATCCTTAAATAAAAGATAAACAATGCTTTGTAACGGATGTTTCATGTGTTGTATCTTGACATTAGAGAAATTAAAGGAAGACGGCGAGGTATATGGATATATTGATCGAAAGTAACATCTGATAAAACTTATTCATCGTTGAATCCTTCGTTTATAATGTATTTTTTTTATCACGAAATAAATCTCTTTAGTACTTTGAATGTTCGATACGAAAATCTCTCTCTCTCTCTCTCTCTCTCTCTCTCTCTCTCTCTTTACTATGTGCATTGATTCACATCACTATTAGATTGCGGATTTTGTGCATTTATGGTATATATGAGTAGTAGTAGTAGCAGTAGTAGTAGTAAATAGTAAAAATATTAAAAGAATTTAATTCTCGAATGAAATTTCATTTTTTATTTTAGGTACTACAAAGATTTGTACTTCTCTAAAATTATGATTTAATGCAGTTGTTTAAATTATAATTTTGGGAAAATATTCCTGAGGCGCGCATAAAGATTAAAAACATTGTTATATTATCATTAATTTATTCAAATCAACGATAAGAGAAACAATTTTCTATTTAGCTTCCACTTCTTGTAACTGAGAAAGACAGTTTTTATTTTGCAAAAAGTCCGCAGTCTGATCATTATACATATACTATACAGTACCTATTTATATTTAGAGCTCTTTTATTTAAAAAAAAAACTTATTATATTATTGTCGTAAAATAGGTATGTAAAATAGGTATACGTGTGGTCAGTTATTCGCAGAAATATGAACGAAAAGTCAAGGAATTAAATTATATATCAAAATTTTAAATATTAAAAAATAGGAAAAATGTGCATACAGAATTTAGAATTTAAAATCACAAAATTAATTCTGCAATGAAAAACTGTATTTTCCATATGAAAATTCTATACAAACTGTCTAAAATACTTTTTAAGTATTTTTAAATTCTATATTAACAGTTCACTTATTCAAAAGAAGTCAAAGAAATTTTGTTTGCAAATATTTTGCAACGTAATGATGAAAATTACAGTGCAGAATATTTTAGTAGAGTCACGAGAAATTCTAGTGAGCTATTACAGTGGACAAAATCGATAATTGATCCTATTTGTGAAACTTTGGTCGTCCGAGTGTACAAACGTTCCATCCATTCTAACATTTAGCTGTCTGAATCGGAATTTCTAACGCATATGCAAAGCGTTGACATAAATTTATTTTTCTGGTTGCTTCCTCTTCGTCTGCTGCGTTTTTTATTTCTCATTTTTTTCGGTCTTTGAGAGATATGAGTGGCCATTTTCTCATGCGTGTTACAATGACAAATTGTTTTTATATCTTGGCACTTTTTCCGCTTCCATTTTGAGAATTTATTCGAGGCTAAGCTTCTTACACTATAATAAACACGATTGAGGATATTTTTGGTGAAGAACATTTTAGAAAACATGTTTTGATAAATTTTAAATTCGACATTTTTGTTAAATAAACTTCTTTATTATTTCTGCATTCTTTAATGAAACGAACTCTGTAGAACCATAAAGAAAAACAAAACTTGATTGATATTTGTGAAAATTGGTTAAGAACATTTTTTAGAAAGGTTTTTACTAGCTAAGAATATTTTTACTAATGTTCAATAAACTTTTGTAAACAGTTATTAGGTAAAATTCTCGATGTGTATTGTTACTATCATGAACTTTGAAAATATTTCTAGCAAAATATGTGAAATAATTCAATGTTTTGTTCAAATTGGTTTAAAATGGTTAAGATAGGAACAATATTGAGAATAATCAAACGGGGTAATCTTTTATGATTAGATGAAAAAAAGAAATTTCTAAAAATAATGAAAATAATTAATAGTAGTTTGTAATTCTTGTTTTCACCACATCAAACTGGCAAAGGAAAAAAGAAGTGCATGATTAATTCTATAATAATCGTGTTTCCTTGTAGGAAAGATGGAAATTCATTGTTGGTGGCGTATAAAGCGAATTAATGTTGGAGTATCATGTTTCTCGCCGATCTACGCAAGTTTATCGAGTTAGCTAAAGTTTCAGACAATATTCTCAAGTAGTATCGGTAGCTATCTGCTGATTCACTGAAGTGGCATGGGAATGAGGATCCTAGAGAACGCAAGGTTGGAAAGTAATTGTTACTTCAAGAGACGATGCTTTTCAGAAAGTTTACGACAAAGACGGCAATTTATTGCATTTATTCTCCTCTCACCATATCTTGCGAGTTGGGGACATCGATGTCGAACACTCCACGGTTACTGTTGCTGCTTGACATTTCTTACTGCAAATGACGTAAAAACTTTTAAACCTGAACCGGAGATTTGTAATCCTCGGACTGCGATTATCGGGTCATTTTAACTCAATTTTGATTAATAACTCAATTCGTGCTAATGAAATTAAATAAGTTGCTATTACACTAGAGAAAGAACAGAAAGACTACAAAGACTCTACAAGAAGTATCTTCAAAAATATGTCTTGAAAAATTAATGAATAAAGCTGATAATGGTTATAAATATTGCCAATTGTATTTAATTATAATTATATTTAAAATTTGTGATTATACTACACATGAAGCTAGGTAGATTTTACACAAATCTTGTAGATTTTTAACCCTTTCTGGCGGGTAACCACTTTTGAGACAAACCACTAATCAGAAATTGACATCTGATTAAACTGTAATTAATATACTTAAAATGACTATCAATAGGAAGAAAAATTCTACAAAAATTTTACATTGTGGCTGCCACAATTATTTATCATAATAGAAAAGAATAGTTAAGATCGTTCTGTAACGAAGTGATGCTAAAGTATGGAGCTTTTATCGTTAATATTATAAAAGCCAATACTTTTTGCAAATTTTTACATCAGTATCTAGTCCAGTTGCATTCTGACGTCTCCCAACAGCACCAATGGTAGAAACTGTTTTTGACTTTCTTGATTTGCCTTTTTGTGGGTCGCTATGATTACATAGTAATTATCATTGATATTTCATGAGCATTGTTTCAATCCTTTTTACGTACCTCACAGGGGCATGTCTATTTGCTGGACAAATGGGATCTTTACATTTCTTCGGCATTTTCTGTTAGTTCGCACAGGGAAACGTTATTTGTTTGAGTAATTGAAAGGATATGTTTTATTTTGAATTGGGAAAGTTGATCGCATCTTTGCGTTGATTTTTCATTAACCTCTATGTATCACGATGGCTAAAATATATCTCAACATTTTCTTTTTTCTTTCTGAGTTTACGTAGATACATTTTTCCCCGACCATTCACATATTTTAATGTCTGCTATTGTCCATTGTAAATAATCCGTGATCGTCTAATCGTTTAGATTGCATTTTCACGAGTAAATTTCTAACCTACTGTTACATTGACAGGCAAGATCGAGTTTTCCGAAGAATTTCAGTTCAATCGTTGAAAGAGCGTGCAATCATATCTCGTTTACGTGACACATTTGCGCTAACAGTGCTCATACCTGGAACGAACGTATGTCAACAAAATTATCACGAAATGTCGGCGTGATCTAATCAACCGATTAAATTTTTTTCTCTATTTTGATATTCGAAAAAAAAATTATAAATAGATACCAACAACGTGTAAACAATTCGAGCAATTTCTATAATTGCCGATAAAACTTTTTTTGATAAAAGAAATCTGTTTCTATTGATATAGATCCGATTTATCTTGCGCAGATTCCTGTTACTTCGCATTTATAAGGATATTTTAAAAAATGTGAGATACGTTCATTTTCATTTCGTTCATCTGGACACTTTTTGGAAATTAACAAAACATTCCACAGATATTAATCTTTTTGTTGGTTTATTATTATAGACTATGGACGCAAGGCATGTTAAACTTATACTTTCATTTGAATGAAAAAAAGAAAATTATTCAATGTAAAGTACATTTAATATACGTGCAATTTTATCGTTAATGTGAGATTACACGTAATCTAATGCATGAGACAACACAACCATCGCTTTTACGAAATGATATTATCAAAATCGTGGTAACGAAACATGAGGAAAAATATTAAAGATCAATGAATGTGAGAATTGAATGGAATAGTCTGAAATTGTGAGACGCGCGAATTGAGTAGAAAAATTTAAACAAATGTTAGACAACTGAAGGAATAATTGTAAGGATAGTTAAAACGAACTTAGAAAGAAATTGAGGTATACAAGTATAATGAAAAGAATCAAGAAGAAACCGATCTAGCAATATAACTTTTATTAAGATATAAGTATATGCGAAAGAAAAGAGAATTAAATTAATTATATTTTAAAAGCAATAAATACGTGTGAAAAATATGGACTGGTATATTGATACGAAATAGCGTTATTTTTAAGAATTAAATAAATACCTGTTATCCAGTTGTAGGCTACCTTATTCCTTATATTTGCTACCATTTCAACGACGATTCAGCGTTCAAAATCACTTAAAACGTTAAAAATGCTGAAAAATCCTCGATGCGTTGTTACAGATTGTAAAAGTAACATTCAAAAAGCCAAATAGTGCTTCAGATTTAGCAGCCGTCGTCCATACGTGACGACAAATCAATATATCGCGCATTCAGCCGTCAACAAAGATTTATACGATCGCAGTACATAACGCTCTGCGCCCTCCTTGATTAACAGCCCCGAGATCCAATCGCAGTATTTTAACGTCTGAAAGGAGCCAAAAAACGCTATCAAATGGCGTGGAAATCTCAAGCCAGCGACAGTTCGTTATGTCTGCAATTACGTGCGCGAATCGTCTACAGTGTCGCAAATCTGACAAGAGAATCGAGTCGGCATACCGGTTACGAGTCTGCGGGAAAACGATACAGAGAAGAAACGGAACCGGCTCGGTTCAGCTAGAATTAATTAAGCAGCTAGTGCGGCAGCATAATCTTCCAAATAAATGTCAGCGTTAGATACGGCACGGCGCGTATCTGTTATACCAGTTCTCTGGTACAGGAATACATATACATATAGGTATATATGTCGACTTTTTTATTATATATATATGTGTTGATTTTTCCGTGGCGGGATCGCGACTGCGAACGTGTCGCGAACGTTGTTAAGTCGAGTTACGATCGATCTTGGAATCACAGCCACGGACGAAGATGAAGAAGGAGGAAATTGGCGAGTCCGAGAAGAGGAAGACGAGCGAACCGGAGGAACGACGCGTGTGCCGGACCCGTGTTCGACGTGTGTGCAAAACGGCAGCAGGAATATCGACGCCAGACTGGCGGCCGTTAGTTGTGGCCTTGCCATCGGCAATTTATTCACGAACCGGAATATCTCTGCGGGCGTTCGTTCGGCAACCTCCATTCGCTTCAGAGCACTTCAAGTGAACCTCTTCTTTTAAAGAGCGAGCTCGTTACTTTTCCAGTTGCATCGTACGCGATGCATGCGACGCCGCGTCGCGGTACACTGTTTGCCGGGGACCCCGGAAAAAGACGGTCGAAAATGTCGGACCTTTCAGGAACTTGGGGTGATTTTGTTTTATCGAGGATGTTTTTGCTCAGGAACAACGTCGCTCGGATCCTTTCCACAAGGAACCGTATCGGTTTATTGTGTTGTACAAGATAACGTCCCGACGCTCAGTGGGGAATTTATCCCGAAAACACGGAACAAAGTAATTTTATAAAAAAATTCTCGGAAGGAAAAATTTGCTCAATAAGAGTTAATTCAATATATAAGTTATGATTTACTATGATTTTTTGTACCATTTGTTCATTTTGGACATGATTGCACAGCTTCAAAATGCTTTATCCTCAGAACACCTGAAACTCTCTCTCTCTGTTCATATTATTTGTAATTATTTTATTTATCTTACTTAAGCGATGAGTGAGTACTTAGGGTGCAGTGTTCGTTTTGATCACATTTTAAAGGATCGGGTGTTATTCAGTGTTGCCAGGGAATTGATAGCGCATGTTTCAGTTGATAGTGCAGTTTCTCGGACGTCGCGTCCCCGCAATCGACAATCCTTTTCCCCCCCACTCCTATGCATCGTCACGTGACGATTTAGGGCTACTACGTATCTTCTTCGTTACTCTAACTTCAATTTGTCGACAATTGCGGAGCATGGGGCAAGGAGAGGGTAAAGGGATTTCCCTCGCGCCATCAATTCCCTGGCAACACTGGCCTCACCTTCCTTTTAAAAAAATGGCTGCCACTAGATGCTACTGAAGCAGTCAGACGGATTGTTGTAATTATTGACATCCTTTTAGCTGGAAATTTTATAATTTTTTAATCATTTTCTATACATTAGTTGCTAATTCGTTGTTCATCAGTTGTTAATTGGTTTAACACTTGGATATGCAATATATGTATTTTATAATTATATTTTTGTTTATAAATGTCGTTATACAATAGATTTTGCTACTCAATGTTTATATTTTTTTATAGATTTTGCTATTCAATGTTTATACGTACATATATGCCTCATCGTAAAATATCAAAAAGTAAAGTATATATATATATATATATATATATATATATATATATATTTATGGTTATGATTCAGTCAGAAAATGTCTTTTTACCATGTTTTCGGGGTGAATGCCCCACTGTGCAACGCTGCACAGCTACCTTGTTGAAGTAACTTATTAACACTAAACTTGCCGTGCCGTGCCGGTCAAAATAACTGGTTCCATATTTTTAATTTTTAAATTGTTGAATTTATAAAGTCTTTCGTAGAAAACGATTGAATAAATTCAATCTTGTAATTTTGACAAATCAACGCCTGGCAAACATCTCTAGTGGCATACTTCCGTTGTTTCGAGTCGGAATTAATTTCTGATCTCTTGCTGACGATATTTAAACATTAATATTTTAACGTTAACTCCCGCAACTGCATTTAGCAGTTCTGANCGTGTGTGCAAAACGGCAGCAGGAATATCGACGCCAGACTGGCGGCCGTTAGTTGTGGCCTTGCCATCGGCAATTTATTCACGAACCGGAATATCTCTGCGGGCGTTCGTTCGGCAACCTCCATTCGCTTCAGAGCACTTCAAGTGAACCTCTTCTTTTAAAGAGCGAGCTCGTTACTTTTCCAGTTGCATCGTACGCGATGCATGCGACGCCGCGTCGCGGTACACTGTTTGCCGGGGACCCCGGAAAAAGACGGTCGAAAATGTCGGACCTTTCAGGAACTTGGGGTGATTTTGTTTTATCGAGGATGTTTTTGCTCAGGAACAACGTCGCTCGGATCCTTTCCACAAGGAACCGTATCGGTTTATTGTGTTGTACAAGATAACGTCCCGACGCTCAGTGGGGAATTTATCCCGAAAACACGGAACAAAGTAATTTTATAAAAAAATTCTCGGAAGGAAAAATTTGCTCAATAAGAGTTAATTCAATATATAAGTTATGATTTACTATGATTTTTTGTACCATTTGTTCATTTTGGACATGATTGCACAGCTTCAAAATGCTTTATCCTCAGAACACCTGAAACTCTCTCTCTCTGTTCATATTATTTGTAATTATTTTATTTATCTTACTTAAGCGATGAGTGAGTACTTAGGGTGCAGTGTTCGTTTTGATCACATTTTAAAGGATCGGGTGTTATTCAGTGTTGCCAGGGAATTGATAGCGCATGTTTCAGTTGATAGTGCAGTTTCTCGGACGTCGCGTCCCCGCAATCGACAATCCTTTTCCCCCCCACTCCTATGCATCGTCACGTGACGATTTAGGGCTACTACGTATCTTCTTCGTTACTCTAACTTCAATTTGTCGACAATTGCGGAGCATGGGGCAAGGAGAGGGTAAAGGGATTTCCCTCGCGCCATCAATTCCCTGGCAACACTGGCCTCACCTTCCTTTTAAAAAAATGGCTGCCACTAGATGCTACTGAAGCAGTCAGACGGATTGTTGTAATTATTGACATCCTTTTAGCTGGAAATTTTATAATTTTTTAATCATTTTCTATACATTAGTTGCTAATTCGTTGTTCATCAGTTGTTAATTGGTTTAACACTTGGATATGCAATATATGTATTTTATAATTATATTTTTGTTTATAAATGTCGTTATACAATAGATTTTGCTACTCAATGTTTATATTTTTTTATAGATTTTGCTATTCAATGTTTATACGTACATATATGCCTCATCGTAAAATATCAAAAAGTAAAGTATATATATATATATATATATATATATATATATATATATTTATGGTTATGATTCAGTCAGAAAATGTCTTTTTACCATGTTTTCGGGGTGAATGCCCCACTGTGCAACGCTGCACAGCTACCTTGTTGAAGTAACTTATTAACACTAAACTTGCCGTGCCGTGCCGGTCAAAATAACTGGTTCCATATTTTTAATTTTTAAATTGTTGAATTTATAAAGTCTTTCGTAGAAAACGATTGAATAAATTCAATCTTGTAATTTTGACAAATCAACGCCTGGCAAACATCTCTAGTGGCATACTTCCGTTGTTTCGAGTCGGAATTAATTTCTGATCTCTTGCTGACGATATTTAAACATTAATATTTTAACGTTAACTCCCGCAACTGCATTTAGCAGTTCTGATAATAGAAATAATCAATTGTAATAGGTGCTATATAAAATAAACTTAAGAGAACATGTGAGCCAAAAGACATTGGAAAGCTATGATGATGTGCAGGCACTTCGCGCTTGCGAATTAAGGAAGGCTACGGATGGTTTCACTTTGGATCCTCTTTCTCCCTTTTTACTATGCCTCCGGCGCCCATTAATTCGTGCCACGTTTCTTATATACGCGTATAATTGATCCGCATACCGATCTTAGTGCTTTTAGGCACGAGTGGTCTCTGGGCTCTCGAACGGACTTCTTTTTACTTTGACGCTATGAATGAACCAGCCACGATCACTTGCTTCGATACTACAGTTATGCTATTATTCGGAGTGCAAGAAGTTCAGGACGAACCACCAGTGGAATACTTTCCATGCTACAATTTCGCTATGTTGATGTTTTATGAACTTTTAAGGCTGTCAACGTCGTCACTACTCGACAGAGCAGACTTAATACTATGACTATGTTCTGCCTATTGATTAGCAATTAATGTTCGATATCTAAAAGTTCGTACGCCACGTGTTATCATATTATACGTAGGAGATTTTTGATAGTAATCTGTTAATAAAAATTCTTTATTAAATTTTTTAATGTCTGAATAACGGTCTGTTCTCTAGTCATCGATATTTAAGCGTCCAAGTTAATGTTGGCGAACAATAAATATAGATTTTCATTTTCTCCTAGCAAAATAAATAGAATCAAAAAAGTTCTAAGCATTGTAACTAAAACAGCTAAGAATCTTTTAGTATATTTTTTAAAAGTCATATCGATCATGATGAACAGGCGAAAAATGCAATCGACTAATCAATTTTGGTACCAATTTCAT